GCAAATCGTGCCAAAAACGCAGTGGTCTCTCTTCTGCCTGTGATTGGCTGGATGAGGACGTACAGAGTCAGAGAGTGGCTGCTGGGCGATGTGGTGTCTGGGGTCAGCACCGGACTGGTGGCCGTCATGCAAGGTCAGAACACCGGCCGGACAGTTTGGAAGGGAAAAACCGTTTCAGCTGCATTTTTTCTTTAAAAAAAAAAAAAAAAAAAAAAAAACTTTCATTTATTTCAGCACTTCAATTCACAAACTAAAACTCGTATAAAAACCTATATGAATTTCGACTTATGCACTTTTACCATCCACCTAACTTTCCATCGATATACTTGGATGCAGTTACACAGCAGATCACAGTAAATTTAATATGTGAAACCAAAGTCAATTTCCTGTTTAGTTGTAAATTCTCCATCAGTCTTATTCCTGTTCAAGTCACACTTTTAATATTTGCTCTCAGTTTCTTGTCTCAACTTTCACTAAATGATTAATTCCAGTCTAATTAAGCAATCAGAATAACAGCAAGAAATGAGATTAAAAGATGGAAAAAAGGGATAAAAAGACTATTAAACCATCCTCCACACTAATTGGTATATATAAAAAAGCACTGGAAGAAACATCATCTCATTCTGAAAATGCATCCTTTATTTAGAGTTATTAAATGAGAAAAAATTCCATGTTGAGAAACGACTGACTTTTTACAAAATCACTGGTGCCACACTAACTGGTAGCACCAAATAATAGTTCATGCTAACAGGACATCGCTTTGTCTTCTTCTGCAACATTTCAACATTTTCACACACAGACTTGAAACTTTGACTGGAATGGAGAAAGAAGACTTTACACAATCTCTCAATCCTCCAGAAATCCTGGGTCCTGTAAAATTCACTAATATTTGTTGCATTTTTTTTTATAGAAAGACTTTTATTAAAGTGTTTTCCAAGTTGTAGTTTTCTATTAGACACACTTTGAAACTTCTTGCATTTCAAAGAGGTCGTGATGTCACATGACTCTTGGCCTTGACAGAGAAACAGTCCCAGAGCATCACGGATCCTCCATCGTACTTTTCCACACGTTACGTAAAATTGTTGTAAAACTTGCACATTTTAAAACCTGCAGGGACGTTTGTTAGCAAAAAGCTGACTTCATGTTTGTATGATGATTATGTCTGATTTTTCCTCATTCACTTTTACTTTTCACTTGTTACTTTTATTTCAGTAAAATAAAGGTTTTAAAACTCGATTCAATACTTTTTAAAAATGTTGCTGTAACTCATATTATCCAAGGTCATCTAAAGAGTCATATAATCCTGATGGCTGTGGGCAGGAAGGATCTCCTGTAGCAGTCTGTATTGCAGCGAATCTGAAAAAGCCTCTTACTGAAGACATTGACGATTGCTCTAATGAAGTTGCGGTGAACATTTGCCTGACTTATAAAGATCAGCAAACATCTTTCTGTGTTGAATGGAATGTTTTTTTGTTCATTCTCATTTTGGGAAATGTCTAAAAAAGGTTTGAGCCAAGTTATACAATTTAAAAGATAAGTATCCCTGATGAAGACCAAACTTAAAGACGTCTCTGAATTTGAAGAGAGCTACAAAAAACATCTATAAAAAATGCTTTTGCAAAGTTTTCTGGCATTTATCAAATAGAAATAATTTTGCTAGTTCGAACTGACCTAAAACTTTAACTTGGTTTCTATTGTGTACAAATTTATTCCGGAAATTTCCCCGCCTGACAAATATAAATACTGTAAAGGTTTTATTTTGACTGAAATTATACTGATGCAATAAAATGCTGGAATGATTTTAAGGCTTTAAGTTTACAAGCAGTGGCGATAAATGTGACAGACTTTTCCTGCCATGAGCGCCACCTGTCATTCCATAATTACACTTATAACAGGCTAAAGTAATAAAAATGTGACTACACTTTTAACTTAGTTAAACAAAATACTTATACTTTGAAAGGACACTGGTCTTTTCTGATTCTGTTTTTTGCTTTACTAATCAATAGTATTCTTGTTCTTTCCTAGACACAAAAAAATGTTTAACTTGGCAGCAGCTTCACTCAGATCAACTATCTGCTAAGACTGGGGGTTTATTACTTACCATAAAATGTACAAAACAGAGTACAGGCAGGAAATTTAAAAATGATCCTGACTGCACATTAAATGTTAAAGGAGACCAAATGCAAAGGTGAGGATTAAAGGCTCAAACTACAAAGGAAAGAAAAGCCTCTTCACAACGATGTCTCCTGACACTAATGAACATCATTTATAAACTTATTTTAATGGGATTTTCTGTGTCTTCCTGCAGGACTGGCCTTCTCCCTGCTGGCCTCGTTGCCTCCCAGCTACGGCCTCTACACAGCTTTCTTCCCAATGCTAACATACTTTTTCTTTGGCACCTCAAGGCATATATCTGTAGGTATGTTTCATTACCAGAGTCTGTGGTTTACTCTTTCAGTCTAAACTTTTCCCTAGAGATAAAAAACAAGGATTTGAGTTTGTTGCATAATATCCGTGTTGCTGCATAGATCTTATCATTTTGGTCAGATTAGATATGATTTGACTTGGCCTGTCCTGTTCCATCCTCTCTGAAGGCTCCTTTCCTGTGCTGAGCCTCATGGTGGGAGCCGTAGTGACCCGCCTGGTCCCAGAAGATGGACCGCATGCTAACATCACGGACTTTGAAGGCCTGACCCAGGACCAGCAGCGAGTCCTGGTGGCCTCCTCTATGACATTCCTCATGGGTATTTTCCAGGTGAATTGGATTCTTTATCCCTGGATCATGTAATTATTTTCTAACAGATGCAAGTCTGGTTTCAGACTTACATCTGAAACCAGAAGTTTACATGCACCAAATAAAAAGACGCGTACATCTTGTTTTATTTCTCACTGTCTGAAGTTAAGTCAGACCAAACGTCTCTTGTTTTAGGTCAGTTAGGTCAGTTGAGTTACCAGAATCGTTTCTATTTGCTAAAAGCCACAATAATGAGAGAGAAAAATAACAGATTTATTTAACAATTTATTTATTTGAATTTATGGAACTCATTACTGTGGCATTTAGCAAATAGAAATAATTTTGGTAATTCTAACGGCCCCAAAACAGGAAAGATCTGATCTGACTTAACATCAGTAAGTCAGTCAATCAAATTTATATGTATAGCACGTTTTAGCAACATGGCACACACACGAAAATACAAAGTTGTAGAATACACAGTCAACAATTATCAAGTCAAAAATGTTGATTAATGTTTCATTTATAATGTTTCAAAACCAACTCTAAACAGCTGAGTTTTACTCTTCATTTAAAGGCATTTAGTGTTTTGGATGTTTTACAATTTTCTGGAAGTTTGTTCCAGATTTGTGGTGCAACTTTTTTATTCTTTGTATGTAAATTTCTGCTCTCAACTGCTCGTTCTCTGCTTTTTTTTTTTGCTCCAATGCAGCTCGCCATGGGGGTTCTGCAGGTGGGCTTTATCGTCGTCTACCTTTCAGACACTCTGGTGTCTGGATTTACCACAGCAGCTGCTGTTCACATCTTGGTGTCGCAGCTCAAGTTCGTGTTGGGGCTGAGTGTTCCAGGAATCAATGGCCCAATGTCCATGATATATGTAAGTCCAAATTTGGGGCAATCTGGTGACAAAATCAATCAAAGATTGTCCCAGATTATACAAATCAGTACCAGCAGAGGTCTTGTTTCATCTTATATACTGTCAGGTGTACTTGAGTTATTGGGCCAAGTTTTAAAAGGGTTTTGGGAGGAATTAGCTGCTTGAATACAGACTTTTCAAAAATGGGATTCTGAGCTGATACTCAGGATAGTCTGAGGATAATCCTACCAACTTAGCATCTTGTCATTTTATGTTAGGGTGACAAAACACCCTAACAGTTCTATAAAACATACAGTTCTAGGTTTTATTGAACAGTAAGTTGACTTTAAACATCAGTCAAACATCCTAGGTGGCCAATGTGTTACTTTATCCAAAAAAGTGGTGGTTTGCAATACAGCCGTAGAGGCTGTTGCCCATGGTGACAACAGAAAGGAGGGTGCACAAGATAAAAAAAACATCAGTCATTTGCAAATTAAGGATTCAGGAAATCATGCTTATTGCTGAGAAAAGCAAGATTATTTTAAGTATTTAATATTCAGCATTAAGACTTTTTATAGAATTCAAGAAATGGGTTAGAAGTCGCAAAAGAATGTCCAGGTATAATAAGGATATTGATTGGGAATATGATTTGGTCATTTGATGGGTTGATTATCCTTAGAGTCAACTGCAAATGATTTAATTAAATGCATATTCACTGCTTTAGTGTATTTCTTTTAACAAAATCTTCATCTTCAATAAAGAATGCTTTTAAAGACGCTGACATGCAGATGTGCTCCTGCTTGACAGACCTTGGAAAAGATCTTTGTCCAGATCACCTCCACTAACAAA